AAACCATCCAGGCCAGGGCTTTTTTTTTGTTGGGAGTTTTTAAATTATCTTTTCAATCTCTTCTTTTGTGATAGGTTTATTCTATCTCTGTTTGTGTTAGTTTAAGGTGGGTAGTGAGTTTTTAGAAATTTGTCCATTTTCTCTGGGTTTTAAAATTTGTTAGAGTACAGTTTTTCATAGTATTCTGTTATGATTCTTTTAATTTCAATTGGGTCTGTTGTGATATCACCCATCTCGTTTCTTACACAGGTTATTTGCTTCCTGTCCTGTTTCTCTTTTGTCAGATTGACCAGTGGTTTATCAATTTTGTTGATCTTTCCAAAGAACGAGTTTTTGGTCTTGCTAACTCTTTCAATTGTTTTTCTATTCTCTGTTTCATTTAATTCTGCTCTAATTCTTATTATTTCCTTTCTTCTGGTGCCCGAAAGCTTCTTTTGCTGCTCTCTTTCTGCTTGTTCCAGTCGTAGGGTTAATGTTTTGATTTTGGCCCTCTGTTCTTTTCAGATGTGTGCATTTATTGCTATAAACTGACCTCTGAGCACCGCTTTTGCTGTGTCCCAAAGGTTCTGGTAGAATGTGTTTTCCTTTTTGTTTGATTCTATGAATTTCTTTATTCTATCCTTAATTTCTTTTATAACCCAGTAGTTTTTGAGCAAGGTGTTGTTCAGTTTTCATGTGTTTGACTGTTTTTCTTTGCTATTTCTGTTATTGATTTCTACTTTTATGGCTTTATGGTCAGAAAAGATGCTTTGTAATATTTTGATGCTTTGGATTCTGTTAAGGCTTGTTTTATGGCCTTATATGTGGTCTCTTCTGGAGAACGTTCCATGTGCATTGGAAAAGAAAGTCTACTTGGCTGCTGTTGGGTGGGGTGTTCAGTACATGTCCATGAGATCAAGTTGGTTGATTGCAGCATTTAGATCTTCCATGTCTTTGCTTAGCTGCTTTCTGGATGTTCTGTCGTTCACCAGAAGTGGTGTGTTTAAGTCTCCTGCTGTCTGTTTCTCTTTTCATATGCTGTTAGATTTTATGTGTTTTGGAGCCCTGTCATTGGGTGTGTACATATTTATTGTAATTATGTCTTCCTGGTGTATTGACCCTTTAATCATTGTATAGTGTTCTTCCTTATCCTTTGTGGTGTATTTTACTTTAAAGTCTATTTTGTCAGAGGTTAATATTGCCATTCCTGCTGATTTTTAGTGTTGTCTGCTTGTTTTTTTTTTTTTTTCCCCATCCTTTGAGTTTCAGTTTGTTTGTGACTTTAAGTCTCAGGTTTGTCTCTTTCAGGCAGCATATAGATGGATCATGTTTTATCCATTCTGCCACTCTCTGTCTCTTTATTGGTGCATTTAGTCCATTTACATTCAGTGTAATTATTGATAGGTATGAGTTTCGTGATGTCATTTTGATGTCTTTTTCTGTGTATTGCTGACAGTTTTTTTGTTCCATTTAATTTTCTATGCTGAGTCATTTTTCTTTATGTATTTTCTTTTCATCCTTTTTCATTGTTGTTGATTTTGTATTTGCTGAGTCTTTATATTTTTCTTGTTTTTTATTTTGTTGTGAAGGATTGTTAGTTTCCTTTCTGGTTACCTTAATATTTACCCCTGTTTTTCTTAGTTTAAACCAGTCTTTTATTTCTTTATATCACCTTGCCTTCCTCTCAATGTGAAAAATCTGTCTACATTTTTTAGTCCCTGTTTTTTGTTTTAATGTTGGCATCTTTTACATATTGACATCTCTGTTTCCGTATTTTAGCTTTATTTTTGTGACTTCCTTATCTGTGTTGGTATCTGGTTGCTCTGTCCTGTGTTCTAGTCTTGGGTTGTTATCTGATATTATTGATTTTCTAACCAGAGGACTGCCTTTAGTATTTCTTGTAACTTTGGTTTGGTTTTTCTAGATTCCCTAAACTTCTGTTTATCTAGAATTTCCCTAATTTGACCATCATAGTTGAGAGACAGTTTTGCTGGAAATACAATTCCTGACTGGCAATTGTTTTCCCTCAAGGCTTTATATATGTCATCCTATTGCCTTCTTGCCTGCATGGTTTCGCTGAGTAGTCTGAGCTTAGTCTTATTGACTCTCCTTTGTAGATAACTTTTTGTTTATCCCTAGCAGCTCTTAAAATTCTCTTTATATTTGGTTCTGTATATTAGTCTTTTGTATTCTGTCCCCGGTAATTCCAAGAAATTCTCTTCCTCTGGAAGATTTCTTGATTCTTTATTTTGGGAGCTTGCTGAAGCCATCATGGTCTGCAGTTGTATGAGATTTGATATTGACTGTTGTCTCCAAGCCGTCAATAAGTTATTATATTTATTTATTTTATGTTTGCTTACTGTGTCTTAGCTTCTTGTTTTGATATGCCCAAGTAGGCTGCTTATGTGAGCTAGCCCGATCACTGGTGCCCTTGAAGCTCCAGCATCCTGCCACCAGATGGCCAGACCTGCCACTGAGTATGTCATCCCAGGGGTCTGCCCATTCCTCGTATAGATTCAGCTCAGGTGTCCCGGTAGTCAGCCACCAAGTGTGTGGTGCAGGCTCTCATCTACAGTCCTAGGCAGGCATGGGTGATTGGTGTAGGCATAGGCATCCAGCTCCAGCAAGGAGTCACACGCTGAGCAAAGCAGGGGGCCAATGGCCACCCCTGAATGTCCAGGAGGAAAGTGTCCCTGTTCCCTAGGGTGCATAGGTGTGTGGGTTTTGCAGCTGGACTATGAGCACCCAATGCTGTTGGCTGTAAGGACTAAGGGGCACCACTTATTCTTGGATCCCTGTCACAGGTGCCTCGGTGTCATGGGTGGAGCCACCAGCGCTCAGGTCCCCAATGTGGTCAGGCGAGGAACCTGCCCAGTGGGCAGAACAGTGTCAAATGTCACAAACCTGCCACCCTACAGCTGAAACAGTTGAAGTTAGACTTCAGGTATATACCCTGTTGTACTGTGGTAATGAAGGCCTATGCTGATGAAATGGGCCCACACAAGTCTTTGCAGGAATGAAAGGCATTCAAAGTCCATGGATCCCTTATGCCTGTGCCTAAGCAAAGGAGCTGTGCCTACCCTGAGTTCCTGGCTTAGGGGAGCCAGCAGATTATTTTTTCCCATGTTTGTTAATTTGTTCCCTCTCCAAGGCTGGGAGAATGGCTCAGGGCACGTTAAGGGGCCCTACTTTCGGTCCAGTGGATGCAGTAATCCCTGAAACTGGCCCCGCACTCAGTGCAGAGCAGGGAGGGAGGAGGTAAACGGGAGAGAGGTTTTTTCCAAAGGGGGCGTTTATTTGTTCTGGCATGGTAGGCCAAATGAAGTATTTATCTTTTGCCAATTGAGCACTCCTTTTCACTGGTTCTGGAGGCTGGAGTAGACTCTCTGCTGCTTGGCCTCTCCTGATGTGGAAAATGCTTCCTGAGCGCCACTGCTTGCCTCACCGCTCACGCGAGCTGATCCAGCCTGAAGGGTGCCAGCTCCCTTCAGATCAGGTTGGCAATTCCTCGCTGCTTTCAAACCGTGTTTCCCTCCCCTTGCTACCTAGTCCAATTCTTCAACTTTGCCTTTGATGTTCAGGGCTGCTAGATTGTCATATATAATCGATTCACTTGTTTTTTCGGGTCTTTGTTGTAAGAGGGACCACAGGAAGCATCTGGCTACTCTGCCATTTTGGCTCCACCTTCCAAGAAAAGCATTTTAAAACATCTTTTGAAGGACATTTACTCATAAATTGCTCATCTGTGAATTTAATTGAAATAAGAGTTGTCTTTACAATTATATATTAAAGAGAAGGCCTTTATATAATTTCTAAAGACTTAGAAGGGATATTAAGATTCCCAGAGCTCACCTAACAGCCTGCATACCATGCTAGCTTTTTAAAAATGTTATTTGCAGTGTAAGAAAAAAATTCCATTTTTTTCTTCTTTCTCTATTGTTTCTTCTCCAAAGGAACATTTTACGAGAGATGGAATTAGTATGGAATTAAATTTGTTGTCATGTGGTATAGAATTCTTTCTTATGTTCTATGAAGGCTTCTCAAAAGAACCATTGTCTAGACAAAATGTTCTTATAATGGGGCAAATTAACAGATCAGAGCGCTGTGATTGAAGACTGCTAATGAATAATTTGGTTATGAACTTGGAATCTAGAGTCAGATTTCCTCCATTCAGAAATGGATCATTTTATTTCCCAGTGCCTGACTTCGGGCAAGCCTCTTAACCCTTCTCTGCTTCAGATTCTAGATCTTTGAAATGATTGTTAACAGTATTACTTATCCCATAGAGTTACTGTGAAGATTGAATGAATTCATAAAGTGCTTAGAGTGCTTGGCCATAGTAAATTTTAAACTATGTTATTATCAGTATTCATTATTAACCATTATTCATTAGGTCTTAAGCTCTAGTTTTATATTGTATGAAATTACTTGAAATTGTATGTTAATCAGATGGAACTTCTTGGAAGTATAGTACAGTTCGTATACATATCTATTCTGCTAATGCCTGGAAAATTTTAGAGCAGAGGTTCTCAACCTTGACTGTACATAAGAATTATCTGAAAAGCTTTTTTTAAAAAAGACAAAAGCTTTCTGTTGTACACTCTCCTTCGCCTCCAAATTGTAATTTATTTGGTGTGGTGCTTGATTAATGATATATTTTAAAGCTTTTTATTATGGAAAATTTCAAGCATATTCATAAGTACAAAGACTAGTATAATGAACCCAATCTGTTAATCACCCCACTTCATTAATAATGGCATTGATATTTCTTAAAAGCTGTTGTACAGCCAGGGCTTGAGAAATCTCTACATATGATCTAATAAACATTTTATTTATTTGTTTATTTAACAGATATTTATTAAGTGCCCACAGTGTGTGCCAGGCTCTTGGTATTCAGTGATGAACACAGCACAGTTCCTCCTCTGACTGGTTGCCCTGTTGATGCTTACTTCAGTAGTTTATGATTGGATAAGATACACATTTTTATTTCCCTTACTAATACATTTTTCTTTTTCCTGAAGCTAAGAGCACTATCTCACATTTTAGCAACACCAATAGAAGTAATACAGGCAGATTCTCCTCCTATTGTAGTTGGTGAAGAATATTCAAAAAAACCATTAATACTTGTGTAAGTACCTAGAAACTTTTATTGTTTTATTTTTCATAATTAATGCAAAAAGGAGTAGAAAAAATATGTTGATTAATCAAAAAACTGTCTTCAACTGAATTAGGTTTGCTTATTTTATATTACAGGTAATTATAGAACTAGAAGGCATTGCCAAAATATGCGATTTAGATAATTGTTTCAATGTTGAGCACTTTATTCTTATGTAAATAAATAAATTCATTTGTAAAGATTACAAAATTTCAGGACTCACGTGCATATTGTCCTACCTGTTGCTGTCGGGTTGATTCCGACTCATAGCGACGCTAAAGGACAGAGTATAACTACCCCATAGGGTTTCCAATGAGCGCTTGGTGGATTTGAACTGCCGACCTTTTGGTTAGCAGCTGTAGTTCTTAAGCACTATGCCACCAGGGTTTCCATATTGCCCTAGTTTTATATAATAATGCTAAAAGTTTCAACAAGTGTAGAAGTTAAAATTATTTATGTTGTTTGATTCTTTATTCACCTTAGAGATTTTTTTTTTATATTGTGAAAATATTTTATATGATCGAAAACTCTTCTCTGAAATACAGTTTGGAGGGCTTGCTATCTGCTTTAGTGTTCATTAGTTAAACCTAAGAAGGTATTCATTAATGGCTTGGATTTAGGTAAAAATGTAAGCTTATTGAGCATTTAGCATCTCAGCCTTTCCTTTTTTTCCTACAGTGATGGTGTTCTACCTGATTCAAACTCAGCAGAAAGGATTATTGAATCAGCCATTGCTAACTGCTGATACTTTTCAAATGGTGTTGCTCTTTTAAGTAATAATGTTTATGTAGTCTGTTGAATGATACCCCTGTGGAGTGATTTATTCAGAGTGCTTGGTTTTATATACATTATAAATATTTATATATGTTATAAACATTTATTAGAATGAATTACTTTTCACAGAAACTGTTGATTTCTCCTTTTTTCATTTCAGATATATGAGACATGCATATGGCTTAGGAGAACATTACAATTCCGTTACACCGCTAATGAACACAGCTACTGAAAATTGCAGCTAGTTTACAAAATGTTGTGCAATTAAATGTTTTAGAACAGTGTGCCCATCTGAGTATTCATACCAAGTGCTGGATTGTTCTGAATGTTACTGAGAAACACAACTACCTTAAATGAGCTTTATGGCGAAGCTACTAACAGGTTTTTCAGAAATGTGTCAGACATAAACCTATATCCCCTTATTGGTATTTTTAAAACTGTAAAATCCATTGTGGAGAAATCATTCATAGACCAAGATAGTACCCTACTCACTGATATTTTCATTGAAATAAGACCTTGGACATTCTGTTCTGTGTTGGAATAAATTTTAATTATCTTTCATGTTACTAAAAGCTTTCAGTAACTATTTCGTGTAACTTTGCTTGAAGAAGTGAATTGACTCAGTCTCTTTATCATTGCAATATCTGGAGGGTGGTGATAGCAAATATAACTAGTGCTTATAAATGAACTTGATCACTGTAACCTCGGTATTGATGGAACTAATGCCTTGAAACTTTTTATTTAACCCCATCAAGGTGCAGTTTAAGAAGCTTGTTTTAATAATTAAGAATTTTTAAATATTTATTCAGATGGGAATCAGTTGTTGAGTTGAAAGAAATGAGACAAATTTGAAGGCAACTAGATGTTCTCTATCAGATTAAAACCTGTAAAGAGTTAGAGATTAGCTTTATATTTGTATGTAACTTAAGAAAACAAACAAAACAAAAACCCAACAGATTACTGTATCTTTCTAATTTATTATTTATTCCTTGCTGTTTCTTAAACTCTGGAATTAGTACCATCATCTTTTAATCATCTTCATGACTACATATTTTTATATTCTCTCTGTGTTTTCCTCTCACTACCTAGCTGGTTTGCTTTCCTTGCAGTCTTTTCCACTAAGAAACAGTTTGTGGACTCTCTCATTCTCTAGCTTGTACAAGTTGAGGGAGTAGCAGTGTTAAAGGGCCCAAGTTTAGTCACATTTACTTAATTTTTCTTTTCCAGTTTACCGTACAAGCTCTCATCGTTTTTGCTTCATTCTCTAGGATTAGAAGAAAATCTTTGTTACTTGTTGTTTTGTTAGGTTTATTAATATCACCTTCCCTTTAACACAAATATTTGAGAATGTTTATATAGCATGTATGAATAAAGTTGAAAGCCACTGTCTGGGAGTCAAGATTTGTATAGTAAAATCAGTATGCAGTAGTTTTAGGGGTGAATGATTTATCTAGCTCCAATTTCAGGTTACTCACAACAGTATTCTTTCTATGGTGATAGTACCCATATATACAAATTGATCATTTGTTATGTAAGGAAGTATTGTCTGTGAAAATGGGCCCTTTTTGGTTTGATCTGTTTTTCTCAAACTAGTAAGATTTATCATCAAGTTTATAATATTTGATTTTTTTTCTTCCGTAAGTACTTTTTTAAGTAAACATTGTGTTTGTAATATTTAAAATGGGATGTCAGTCTCACATGCCCTACAGGTAACAAATGTGTGACTCTTGCAGGGACTGTGGTAAACCAGCACAAGAAAGGCTTGCCTTAAGGCATCCTGACTCAAAAGTTTCAAAAGCATTCTGCCTGCCAAGTAAAATATATTCTGAAGGCTGCCTGTTTTGTAATCTTTGACTTGAATGTTTTTGGGATCTGAAATTTATAAAAGAATGAAAATGGGAAAATACTAGATGTCTTGGCTTTATTTTGAAGTAATGTTACTTTAAAATTTAAGCATCCTAAAGTAATATAAACAAGATATTATAAAACTTAGGTACTATAATTTCCATCTACATCGAAAGTATTCTAAAATGACTTACTGGTAGCTTTTTTTTTTTTTTTAAACAACATGCTGTGTAGAGTTTTCTTGATTATAGATTGATTTTTAATTTTTATTACCATTTAAAAGAATTTAAATAGCCAATATGGTTATAAACAAGATTTGTATGGCTGGCTTCGTTTTTTCATAAGAGTTCAGATAAACATCATTTTAGCTGTAGCCTAAACTTAAAGTCCTTAAAAAATGGAGGACGTTAATTTAAGTCACATATACTAATTTAGTTTGCTATATGATGATGGTCTAATGGAAGTTTCATAAGCTTTCTTTTATCCTGACTCAGAAAAGTATATTTCAGAGTTCTGCAGTATGTCTTTAGCCAAGAATTTTATCCACTTTAATATGTTTACAATTTGTACAAAGCAAAAAAATGTGTGTAGTTATAGTGAGCAATATAGTTTTGCTCACATTATCTCATCTTTGCCAAAAAAGAATAAAAGATGAATTAAATCAACACATTTGTTCAGATTGTCATTCTTTAACGATTTTGGAACTTAGAAGACTTTTTTTTGCTTCAGAATTTTACCTAGCCTTTGTTTTGTCCTGACATATAATTGAGAACAATATGATAACAAATTCTTGCATTTAAGAACTTTAGAATAAATATAAGAGCATAGCATTATGCCTAGACAAAACAGAGGGAGATGTAAAATAATAGCTATTTAAACCATGGCTCTTAAAAATCAGGTAGTTGGACTTCCAGCAACACGGCGCTCTAGGCAGAAGCACCACACTGTCCCTCCGCAGCAAAGATCTGAAAAACTAAGCCAAACAGAAAACAGCAATCCTGAAACCCTAAACATCAAATGAAGAGATAAAGAACTCAGCCAAGCACCAAATGGAATAAGAAACTGACGAGAACAGAGAGCGAGGAGACATACATGCAGATGTCCCCTTCAGCTAATGCAGCATGGATCCGCCATCTTGGACTCCTATCAGAGACCAGCAAATGGGGTACAAGGAAGCAGCTTCACAGAGCTTCCAGCAGAAGACAGAACAACCGGTACAGTGATACACGCTTTCCCACCTTCTTCAGCCCTACTCGGCCTCATCTGCTTCCTGCGGCAAGAGTCTCTTGGCCGGGTAGCACAGGCTGCTTGGATTCCACCCTCCTGCACTGGCCAATTCCCTGAGTGCCATTTGTTGGCTGCTGGGGTTGATTTTTTCCACTTCTTTAGATTTTTTCCTTACCCCTCACACCCTTCCCCTCCTTTTACTCAAATACCTGGCTCAGTGCGCCATCTTTGCTTCTTCCTGAGGGGCTGTGGAGCTCCATTACAGTGTGGAACTGCTTCCTGGTCCATGCTGCCACGCTGGTGGGATCTCGAGCCTTTTGTTTGTTTGTTTTGAATTGTTTGTTTTTTCTATTCTTGAGTTGGGAGCCCGTTCTGGCCGGGCAGTGCTGTGCGGCTTGGGACTTAACCCTCAGACGCGTAGAGAGATCCCTGAGGGCATTTCTTTTTTTGTGTTTTTTTTTCTTTGTTTTGTTTTCTTTTTGACTTTTTGTCTTCATTACTCAGTTTCTCATCTTTCTATACCTTCCTTCTCTTCCTGTCCCCTGAATACCTGGTGCTGAGTGACACCTCTATGCTTCCTAGCCAGGCTGTACTTCAACACCTGGGAACAACTTCCCCGAGGTCATAGCCCCACCGGTGGGATCCCTGGGAGCTTTTCTTTTTTTCTTGCTAATTTTTATTTATTCATTCTTTTTTTTTCTTCTTCTCTTTTTTGTTTTTCTCCATTTCATAGTCTCTCATCTCTCCATTGCAACAGCAAGCTCACCTAGCACTCCTTTTTTGTTTGTATGTTTTTGGCTCCTGTTCCTCTCTCATATACCCATCTTAGCTCCACACATCACAGTCTCCCCCCTGCATCCTGCCTACCTGGACCGTGTGCTTAACATCATACCACCAAGCAGCACAGGCATGGCCCACTGAGACCTGCCCTGCACTGATTACCAACCCGCCCTGGTGGCTGTAGTAAGTGCCACAAACAACCCATCCCAGCAACTCCTCTTCAGCTAGACCTGCTCTGCTGTACCATATCTGAGCAACTGATCCAGCTGGAGAAAGAGATGAAAAGTATCGTGCCCACAGATGAGCAAACAACAAAGAACACACAGCCTGCCTGCTCAGACATAGCCAAATAAAAAAAAGGACAAAACAAATCGACAACCAATAAATGAGAAAAATAACTACTCAATGTCCCCAAAACAGCAGACAATAGTAAAACATTTACAAAAACAGGACAAGATGGTTCCAGTAGGTGTCCAAAATAGAACACCAAATGACTTTCCAGTAGAAGAAAAGGCACTAGAACTACCTGATAGGGAATTCAAATCTCTATAATACTCAGAATTATCCAGAAGTTGAAGCAAAAAGCAGACAAAAATAATGAAAAAATAGACAAATTCATGGAAAAGGCAGACAAATTATGGGAAAATACACAAAAATTGGAAGAAGTCAGGAAAATAATGCAGGAACAAAATGCCAAAATAAATTCACAACTGGAAATTATACAAAAACAACAAATCCAAAAGATAAACAAGATTTCAGAAATGGACAGTGCCATAGAAGGGCAGAAGAGCAGATTTGAAATGGTGGAAGACAGGATCAGCGGAATTGAAGACAAACACTTGGATACAACACTGTTTCAGGAAAACTCAGAAAAAAGAAAGAAGAAAAATGAAGAGACCCTGAGAATTATGTGCGATACAATCAAAAGCAAAAATTTGCAAGTGATCGGAGTTCCAGAATGGGGAGAAAACGGACAACACACAGAGAGTCAGTGAAGAACTGCTGACAGAAAACTTCCCCAATATCATGAAAGGTGAAAAGCTGGCCATCCAAGAAGCTCAACAAACCCTGTAGACCCAAAAAGAAAGTCAAGGTATATCATAATCACACTCACCAAAACCAAACACAAAGAATCCTGAGAGCAACTCATGAAAAACAAGAAGTCACATACAGAGAAGAAACAATAAGACTAAGCTCAGATTATTCGGCAGAAACCATGCAGGCAAGAAGGCAATGGGATTACATATATAAACCCTTGAAAGAAAAAAAATTGGCAGCCAAGAATAATATGTCCTGCAAAACTCTAGTTCAAATATGATGGTGAAATTAGGACATTTCCAGATAAACATATCATGGGAACACGTAAAAACCAAACCAAATTTACGAGAATTATTAAAGGGAGTCCTTCAATCTGAGAACAAACAACTTCAGCTCACAGGTGGAATCTAGGACGCAGGATTGTACCAGACAGATACCAATCTAGGAAATGAACTCTCAAGGACTATCCAAAACCAAAAGGAATACAACAGGGAATCAGAGCAGTTAATCTGTAAATGACAACAACATCAGGACAAGAAAAGAGGGAATAAACAGTGTAGCTATAGAACCTTCTAATGGAGAGGAAGGCAAGGTGATACCAAGTAATAATAGACTGCTTTAAACTTAGTGTAAATTTCACGGTAACCACAAAGAAAGTTAACAAACATAAAAATAAAGGGGAAAAACAAAGTCTCAGTAAAAACAAAACCTACAAAAACAAAAGAAATGAAAAAGAAATCCACAAACAAAAGGAATCCAGCACAGGAGAGTAAGAGGAACAAAGAAAACATCAGCACCACAAAATAAGAGCACTACAAAATGACAGCAATAAAGTCACATCTATCAATAATTACACTGAATGTAAATGGCCTCAATGCACCCATAAAGAGACAGAGAGTGACAGAATGGATAAAAAAACAGAATCCATCAATATGCTGTCTACAAGAGACACACCTTAGAAACAAAGACGTGAATTTATTAAAAATCAAAGGTTGGAAAAAAATGTATCAACCTAACAATTACCAGAGAAGAGCAAGAATAGCAATACTAATCTCAAATAAAATAGACTTTAAAACAAAATCCACCATAAAAGACCAAGAAGGACACTATATAATGATTAAGGGGATGATCCATCATGAGGACATAACCATAATACTGATGTATCACACCATATACAAAAACTATTTCAAAATGGATCAGAGACCTAAATATAAAGCCAAAAACTATAAAGTTCATAGAAGAAAAAATAGGACCAACACTACAAGCCCTAATACACGGCATTAACAGGAGACAAACCATAACCATCAACACACAAACCCCAGAAGATAAGCTAGATAACTGGGATCTTGTAAAAATCAAACACCTATGCTCTTCAAAAGATTTCACCAAGAGTAAAAAGAGAACCTACAGACTAGGAAAAATATTTTGGATTGTATAAGTCAGACAAAGTCTAATCTCCATAATCTACAAGAAAAGCCAACACCTCTACAAGAGAAAGACAAATAATCCTATTAAAAAATGGGCAAAGGAAATGAACAGACACTTCGCTAAAGTGGCCAACAGACACATGAGGAAATGCTCATGTCCACTAGCCATTAGAGAGATGCAAATTAAAACCACGATGAGATACCATCTCACCCCAGCATTACTGGCACAAATCAAAAACACTGGAAATAATAAATGTTGGAGAGGCTGCGGGGAGGTCGGAATTCTTATGCACTGCTGGTGGGAATGCAAAATGATACAACCATTTTGGAAAATGATATGGC